ATGCGAAGGTTCTGCCCTGGGACAGGCACAGCCATGTGCCTGCCATGAGTCCTTTGGGGCCCAGAAACCAAGGATGGAAAGCTCACACAGGACCCTGTGTAACAGGCTGTGGGCAGGAGCCTGGTTCTGCAATGCCCATTACAGCCAGACCACCCTGAGATACCGTTCCTGAGCCCTACCCCCTCAGCGGGCTGAGGCCTCTGCCCCTCCAACATCCCTGGGCCTCCTCCAGCCAGCCCCCAAGTCCCTGCTGGAGAAACAGCTGTCGCAGCGGCTTTAGGCCTCCCCGTCTCCGTTATGGCTTATGTACGGCCCCCCAGGCGGCAGGCTTGTGGGGACGGACTGACTTTATAAATAAAATTTATCATTGTAATTATGGTTCCTGGAGAGAGCTGAGGACTTTTACAGCCTCTTGGAGGTCATGAATAATTTAGGAGAATGGAACCAGGGTGATTTTGTTAGTGTACAATTGGGCCCAGAGGTTCCCATTATCTGGCTGCGGGTGGCGCTGTGGCTGGCCATCTGAGCGTTCCACTGAAGGAGACCAACCTCTGACACCCAGGAGCCTACCCTGATGGGGGCCAGGGACACTGCCCAGCATCCTCATCTTCCTGCGGGACCAGGCTGGTGAAGGGTGGCCAGGGTTAACTGTCAGAGGTCCCAGCTTCAGCCAGAGACTAGCAAGCATCAACCGCACAGCTAGGCTGTGACAGAGAAGCATCACTCCCAAATGATATCAGAATGCCACACAGCCCGTGGTTTCCCTCCTGCTGTCCCTCTCCCCACGATATGTGACCCTTGAGAGTTTCAAGAGGCAAAGAAGCACCTTTGCTTACTTCCAGTGATGGAGGACTGGCTGTCTCACTGCTGAAGTTCCTCCCTCAGACAAGCTGTCCAGTAAAGACTCCCCAGTCTTCCCCACAAGACCCCAGGCCTGTGGACCCAGCCCAGGCTCCTGCCATATTCGCTGGAGTGGTTTATGAGTGTTAGCATCCCGCAGCCTGTTCTCACCCCACCCTGTCTTTCCTTCTGTCTCTGCTGCAGTCCTCCCCTCACGCCACAACTACCACCTACCAACGATCCCTGGCCAAGCCCACCTGTTACCCACTCAACCATGTCAAGAGGTGACTTTTTAAGCCCTTGGCCCTCTCCCTTCTCCCTCTGGCCTTGGAGTCCCAGAATACCACACGCAGGAGCCAACCATCTCTGGTTTCTTCTCAGCAGCCTGGCCCCTCATTCTACAGCACCCAGGTCCCCATGTGATCTCCATGTGCCTCTGCCTCTGAGCATCTGGGTTTCCTCAATGAATCAGAACAATCGGATGTAGCCTCAGACCTAAGGGAATTTCCAAACCCAGGGTGTTCGCAGCCCAGGGTAGCTCAGGGGCTTCCAGCGATGGGGACACCTTCCTGCATCTTTGGCTTCTGGTTGCCACTGATACTCACGGCCTGAATCTACACTCTGTGATCACGCCATCTCCTCTTCTGCGTCTGACCTCTGACCCCTGCCTCTTAGGACATACGTGACGGCCTTCAGTGTTCACAGGACAGACAGTCTCCAATCTCCTTCCCATCTTTGTTTCGACAAAGGTGCATAACTCTCCCTGGTGAGCTGCACTCGTAGACTCCAGAGACCTCACGTAGATCTCCTTAGGGGACCACTGTTCAGCCTGCCACAGAGGGTAACCCCAAACTCACCTCCATTTGGGTAGCATGAAAATCCCAAGACATATGCATCAACTCCCAGCCCTTGGAGGTTTCCGTCCATCTCCACCCAGCTCCCATTTTTTCATCCCCAGGACATCCCAAACTCACCCAGAGACGTCCTCTGAAACCTGTGGAAATCAGGATAGCGCCTCAAAGGCGTCTCCAACCTCATTCCCCAGAGCCTGGGACTCACTCGGCGTAACATACAGTGTACCAGCAAATTGCCATGTGCAGTTAACGTTTGTTTAAAGAGGACTCTGGGCCGGGCGGTGGTGGCGCACGCCTTTAATCCCAGCACTCGGGAGGCAGAGGCAGGCGGATCTCTGTGAGTTCGAGGCTGGGCTGGACCGATAGCCTCCAAAACAATACAGAGAAACCCTGTCTCGAAAAACCAAAAAAAAAAAAAAAAAAAAAAAAAAAAAAGAGGACTCTGGGAGAGAGTGGGCTCTCTCTGTCTCTTCCAAAGCCCCCTGTTCTGGGTCAGCCTGGGCTCTGGACCTGGAATGGGTGAGGGGAAAACAGCCATCAGATAGAAGGTAAAGTGTTTCAAACGGAGGCTACCACTGATGATTACAGCATAAAGGCACGCCTGCAGGGGTAAAGAGAAGCCAGAAGCCATCCCTGGAGATGAACCCCAGTCGGAAGGGCCGGCTAGCTGCCTCAGTTTCCCCAGTCCACTTTGGCTGAATGCCGTAAGCTTGGATTTAGTGATTTTCTTTTAACCTTCATTCTCTCTCTCAGTCGTGGTTCCAGTACTTTGCTGCCTATTGGCTGCTTCTGTCTGCCTCCTGCTGTGTGTTCCTTGCCTCTTGTTTACCATGTGTTTAATAAAGGCACCCGTTCATGCATATAACAGCTCGTTCTCCAGACAGGTGCAGAGCATGTGGTTACTAGAGGTCCGAAAACAAAGGCTACAGACAGGACTGGCCTTGTTGGAGACTTAGGATCTCCAGCATCAGGAGACTGGGGAGATCGTTCACTGCATCCTCATCCACCAGAAGGATGGAGCAGTTCAGATGACCTCTCCTATTCCTGGTTTCCAAGATGGGGAAAAAGCCACAAGCAGGTGTTCAGGAATCTCTACAAGCTGGGAATGGACATATAGGGGCCCTCCCAGAGCCTTGACAGTACTGGCCCTGCTGTGTCTTACTCTCAGGCCATGGCTCAACCCTGAAGTAAAGAAGAAGGGTTAATCCATTTTGTAACACGTGCCTGCTCACATGCCTAGCCAATCAACAACTGACCCAGCAGCCCCGCAACCCACCACCCTGTCTCGTCCTTCGCCAGCCCCTTGGGACATCTGCCAAGCCTTCAGCAGGAGCCCTCCTGCCCCCTCACGGTGCCCGCACCCCTGTTTCCCTATAAGAACAAGCCAGCCCATGACTCATCGCTGCCCTGACCTCTCCCTGCCCAAGCTCGTCTCTGGATCGAGCGAGGGACCCATGAAACGTGAGCAGTCAATATCCCTTTTCACCCACCTCCCTGAGGAGGGCCACTCCCAACCCTTTCCTGCTTCCTGATGCTCACACCTGTTCACAGATGCTCACACACAAACCCCGCCTCGGAGTCTTCCAGAAAACCCCAGGGTGATGGCTGACATAACAGACAGCACTGACCCTACAAACAGAAAGGCCTGGGACACCAGTGGCCCTGTGGTCCCGGGCCACAACCCCTCACCCCGGAAGTCTAGGCCACAGGAGTGGGCCAGAGAGCACCTCTGAACCAAACCCCAAAGCCATGGATGTGTAGAAGCCTGACTTCACTGACAGCATCCCGGGGCTGTGTATCGGCGCCATCCATGGCTTCCAGGAGCCAGCTATGCCCACTAGACTGAAGCATCGGGAGGTTCCTGCCTGGGAGATCCTTCTGCTGCTGTAGCAGATAAGGTCCTGCCCCCACCCCCACCCCTGCGGCAGAGCCATTAGCTAACTCCTGCCAACCTGATTCCTGCACCACCCCCACCGCTGCCCGCTGCCCACACCGGGAACGAGTGTGTGGTCATTCCTGGCCTGTGCTCTTTCCCTGCCCGGCCTTTCTGGAAAGGACCTCTGCATCCCAGTCAGACAGGAAAGCCTCGGCAGCTAGGCCGGCACAGCACCACGGTGGCAGGACCAGAGAACCACCAAGGACTGACCACAAAGGTCACGGCGATGTTCACAGACCTTACTTACCGTGTGGCCAGAGGACCCGCAACTAGAGGGCCGCCACGGCCTCTGCCCCATGGGTCAGCTCCTGCTGGAGACTTTCACCAGCTCCCAGGAAGGCAGGCTTCACCAGCTCCTTCTCCGGTGTTCACTGTGGCCGTGAGGAATCTGTATCCTGCACGGGGTCAGGGACTTTCTGCCCCAGGCCACTCGGGTGACATGGGATTGCAGTGTGGTACAGAGTTCAGAGGAGGGAAGCCGGTCTGGTACAAGGGTCTGGTCGTCCCCGCCTTCTGAAGAGAGGCCATGTCTGAAAGGCAACCACACAGGGAGGGGACAGCCCCGGTTGCCCTCGACCCAGCAGAGGCCTGCATACTCAAAGACCCTGGTCCCAGAGCCTCCCTCCCATTCCATGCAAGAGTCATTCATGAGTTGACAGGGGCTTCAGCAGGGCCAGCACGTCTGAGCCAGCCCACTGTCTCCTGCCTACGTGACTCTGGGCAAGTTGTTTTATCCCTCGAGTGGCATCCTCATGCTCAACACATGCAAGCCAGGGCGGAAGCAGCAGAGAGCCTTCCGTGGAGAACCAGGACAGACCCCAGGAAAAGCAGTCCCCCACTAGCTGCCCCTCTATGACCTAATGCTAACCCTTCATCTCAGGGCTTTATTGGGGTTCAGCCAACATGCCTACAATCTGTAACTTGGGCCCTGTGCTCTCAGGACAGGCACCTTATGAAGTAGGAGGCCTGGGGCAGGCTAGCTCCCGTCTCCACCCCAAAGCTGCACTGGAGAGTCTAATTCCAGGGTGGGTTCTGCAGTCGCCCCATATCTTCACAGCCCCCCATGTCACCCTCACACATCCACGCTACCCTTAATTCCATAGTACAGCTTTTTCAAGAGGCTCACAGTCCTGGAACTGACCTGATATAAACAAATTGGGCCGAGATGGGCAGGGACAGTGGTGCTGACCCCTGGCCTTGTCTACAGGCCTGGCCCGCTGTCCACTGGGGCCCTGGGAAACGGCACCTCCCAGATCTGGAACCAGTGGCCTGTCTGCAGGGCTGTCGCAATTCTGTCCAAGGGGAAGGCAATCGTAGCTCAGCCATTGCTATCTGAATGGCTCTGTGGTTCAGCGTGAGGGTCCAGACAGGTCACACAGACCAACATACCGGAAGGCGGGGACGACCAGACCCTTGTACCCTGCATACAGCCAAGCAGCCCCATCAGAGGGGACTCTGGAGACTGGCGTGATCTTCTGGTGCTGTCCAGGGCCTCCCTCTTGAGGGTACAGGGAGTGCTGTGACCAAAGCCCACCAGGTCCTTACCGGACTGTGTCCCCACAGTCGCCCTGCAGAGTGTGGTAGTTTCTGCCCCTCATGAACCCAGGAGGCAGCCAGGTGAGCAAACCAGCTCGGCGACCAGGTCTGTGCGACCTTCCCACTCGGGATCGAGATTTCTAGCCACAGTTGTAAGCAAGGAGCCAACTGTGGTGGGCAACAGGATGGAGGCAGTCTGGGCAGAGATCACACATGTCACCACGGTCACTCCTGGGTGGCCACCATTCCCTTCTACAAGCTCTGAAGGGCTTCCTAAAGTGGCGACAGTTGCAGACAAAACAGAGCAGCTGGGGATCCCAGAATGTTATCGTATGCATAGGGAGCAGAGGGTAGGAAGGCTCGGTCTAACCCAGGTGCTTGGTGTTCCAAGGCTCTGGGCAGCTACATGTGGCCCTAGGGCTGCAAAAGCCCTAAGACCATCCCCTGCCCAAGGCCAGGCCATCCTTGGGAGGAGCAGGGCGGTGACCTGTTCAAATCTAGATACAGGAGCGCTGGCCTCTAGCCACACAGGACAGTAAGTGCTGCATCAGACAGAGCGAGGACCCAGGGGCTGCTCCCGGGGCAGCAGGGGCTGAGTCAGCCCTGCCGGTCAGTCTTCCCTGCCTGGGCGTATCCCTCCCGTTAGGCCGATGACCCCTTCTGTTGGGCACGGCCACAGAGCAGACCTCTGACTTGCCTGGTACCCCGGCAGCTGGCAAATGGCTCGCAGCCCCCAGGGCTCACCTCAGTTTAGGCCCTGCTTAGGGGAGGGTCCACACTGTCTACCAGATACTCTCAGGGCCTAGATCAACCCTGCTTCACTCTGAGGTCCCCCTAACCTCATCAACACACCCCCATGACCTGGGCCATCGTCACTACACAAGCCAAATGCTGCTGAGCTGTGCAGACCCCACATCTCACGAGAGCGAGGCCCCGGGTGTGGTGCCTGCTCCTGCTCCTTGGTCCCGGGCCAGGGGTGTGTGAGCAAAGCCAGCAGAGACCAGCCTCGCTGGGAGTCTTCTTAGAGCTCTCCCTGTCACTTAAGGCAGGAATGTTTGGTATCTGGGGAGCTTCCAGACTATTCCTGGCTGGAGCACCAGATTAGGAACACCAGCCCTTCCAGGGACCCCATGGCCTGCCTGGCCTGCCCTCTGCCTGCCGCCCTGCAAAAGGAGGTGAGGGGGCAGGGGTGTCCACAGCTCCCTGGTTCCTTTCCAGCCATTCAGAGGCCTGTGACCCAGCCGCCAAGGTGCCTGGGATGGTATGCAAGTCTATTGGGAGCCACTAGGCCCTGTGTACAACAGCCCCACTACAGAACCGGCTGACTGGAGGCCGCCAACCTCAAGGCGGCTGAGGCCGCTGCCCCGTGCCTCTGTAATGGAAACTTCTCAGCCGCTCTGTGAGCCGCAGCTCCAGTTCCCGACTCCTGTGGGGCTCTGATCGGCAGCAGACGGGAGGACAAGGCAGGTGAGCAACCACACGCAAGACAGGTACGGTGCCACAGGAGCCCAGGTGGGGAAGGCCTTGGTGTGCGTGAGTGTGAGTGTGTGTGTGTGTGTGTGACTCTGTGTATGTGTGTGTGTGGTGTGTAGTGTGTGTCTGGGTCTGTGTGTGTGAGAGAGAGTGCGTGTGTGTGATGTGTGTGGTATGGTGTATGTGAGTGTGTGGGGACATGGAAGGTGGGGAGTGTGTGTGTGTGGTGTGTGTGTGTGGTATGTGTGTTTCTGGTATATATGTGTATGTGGTGTGGGGGTAGGATTGTATATGTGTGTGTGTGGTATGTGTGGTGTGTGTGGTATGTGTGTTTCTGGTATACATGTGTATGTGGTGTGGGGGTAGGACTGTATATGTGTGGGGTGTGTGGGGTGTGTGTGGTGTGTGTGTGAGTGGTATGTGTGTTTCTGGTATATATATATGTATGTAGTGTGGGGGTAGGATTGTATATGTGTGTGGTGTGTGTGTGCTGTGTGTGGTGTGTGTGGTGTGTGTGGGGTGTGTGGGGTGTATATGTATGGGGGGTGTATGTGGGGGGCTGGAGTATATGTGGGGGGATGTGGGAGGTGTAATATGTGTGTGGCACATGCATGTGTGTTAGTATGTGGCCCCTGTGTCTGTGTGCACATGTGTGTTAGAAAGTCCTACAGAGGCATGGGGGCACTGCTGACTCCCCAAACTCCCAGATAAGGTGAGGGAGGAAGTGCCTCTGGATAGACCCTAGAAAACAGTCTAGATTTGGGGTCTAGTAAAGAAACAGGAGCTCCAGAGCCCCCAGCTCAGGCCACCAGGGCTGACTTTGGGACAGAGCCCTTGTCTCCGTGACTGTCTGCTCCAGCTGTCTGCAAGCGCCATGTTCACCCGCCTGGACGAGGGTGCAGCATCCAAGCTTGGCTCTGCAGCCTGGCTGGTGGCATTCTCTACCTGGGTCAGGGTTCCCCACTCTCAGGGGCACAGTGCTCCCTTGCTTGCTCCTGGACTGGAGGAACTGGGCCTCGACTCTAAGGGGATGGCTGGGGGTTGTTTCCCTGAGTGAAGGACAGAGTCCCAGCTGCCAGCCCTCCCAAGCGGCACGGTCCAGCCACGGTTCCCCACAGGCACTACTTTCCACCCTTTATCACCCATCTGCCACAAGCCCGCCTCTGAGCAAGTGCACTCAAGTTACCGGTTACCGCCTGTCCCTGCTGGGGCCAAGGCCTCTGCGCTGGGGCCCGCGGGAGGGGATACCAGCTGCGTGTCTGTGTCCACTGCTGTGTGAGCCAGAGATGCTCCCCACTGGACTCCTGGTGGCAGTGTGAGAGCCAGAGAGCTCTCTGCTTGATGGAGACCACAGAGATAAGGATCCAAGCCAGACATGCACACCGCACACTCACACCCCATACATATTCACATACACACACTCACACACATACCACACACTCACACCCCATACATATTCACATATACACACACTCACACACATACCACACACTCACACCCCATACATATTCACATATACACACACTCACACACATACCACACACTCACACCACATACATATTCACATACCACACACTCACACACCACTCACACATACACACACACTCACACACCACACGTATTCACAGACACACACACACACCACACTCACACATACCACACTCACACACCACACTCACACACACACACCACACACCACACATATTCACATACACACACTCACACACATACCACACACACACCACACATATTCACATACACACACACTCACACATACCACATACACTCATACAAACACCACACACACATACCACACACACACACCACACACCATACATATTCACATATACACACACACTCACACATACACTCATACAAACACCACACACTCACACACACACTACATAATAACACACTCACACATACACACAGGCATGAAGAGGTGGTTCAGGTATATTCGTGCATGTGCAAACAAGCCTGTGTGTACACAGATCACATGCATATGCACATTCTCACATGCTAGCACACACAAGCCACACAGTTACACTTACATGTACATATGGGTTCTCCACAGGTCAATACTCACATGTTATACAAACATATGTCCCCTCATATGTCAAACAACCCCATGTGTACACCCATAAACATGTATGTGCATGCTGTCTACTGTTATGTGTATACAAACACACACATGGGTCTAGAGAGATGGCCCAGCAGTTAAGAGCATTTGTTGTGCCGGGCAGTGGTGGCGCACGCCTCTAATCCCAGCACGTGGGAGGTGGAGGCAGGCAGATCTCTGTGAGCCTGAGGCCAGCCTGGTCTACAGAGCGAGTTCCAGGACAGCTGCCAAAGCTACAGAGAAACCCTGTCTCAAAAAAATCTGACACTGTCCCCTGATTCCAGTGGGCCATCTGCACACACATGATACACAGACATACATGCAGGTGAAACACTCACACACATAAAATAAAGTCAGTTAAGGAAACATTTAAAAGACGCTCACACATGTTGTCTCACAATCCCCCAACAGACCCTGGCCACAGAGGACCAGAAAGTGGGTGCTGGCAGTAAGGCGCCTTCCCTGACTGTGGGCCTGGAGCATAAGCCACCACTGCCCTCCCCCTCCCTCCTCTCCTCCCCCTCCCCCTCCCTTCCCCTTCCCCCTCCCCCCTCCTCCCTCCCCTTCCCTCCTCCCCCTCCCTCCTCCCTCCTCCCTCCTTTTCCTGTTCCCCGTGGCAAGCCCCTTCTCTACCCTATTGCAATAAAACCTTCGCTGCCATAGGAGAGTGAGCTCCCTTCTGCAGTAACTGAGCCATGCAAACACATCCAGGCAGACATAGCAGGGCTCCAGCCACCTGCCATACTCATGCCCGCTGAACACAAAGACTGGCCGTTCCATTACCTCCTGCGGAAGACTGTATGGAGGTCCGGGGTCAACCTTCGAGGAAGGGGAGGGGAGGGGGGAGCTTCGTGTAGGACTCCTTGGAGTCGGGGTAAGCTCCTCACGCTTGTCTACTCTCAGTCCTCAAGAGGAGGCTCCTGGAGTCTACAGAACCCGAGCCGTGCCTCGTGGGACAGGCCTTTGCCCCCATTTCAAGGCCTTCTCCAGGCCCGAGACCTGGGAGGTTCTAGGTGATGAAGGAAGCTGCTTCACACTGACCCTTCCATCTGGGGAAAAGAAGGAGAGCCAGCCCGCCAGCAGCCCAGGGACACCTATCTGACCTCAGTGTCTCCACATACCAAGAAGGAATGTGGTGGTCTCTGACCTCCCACCCCACCCCCACGCCCACCCCGGCCCGGGCTTCAAGCAGGGTCTGTACCCAGAGCAGAACTGGAGGACTCGGAAGGCATGGCTGACGCTGTGGAAAATGACCACACCAGTGGGCGTGACAAGGGCAGAAGAAACACTGCCCCACCCAAATGTGAGACGTGACAGGGGAGAGATGGACTCAGAGAAAGAGCAGCAGTTAGGGAGCCTGGCAGGGGGACAGGCTGAGAGACTGTCAGAGACGGCAGGGCCAGGGGTAGAGAGGGAGAGACGAGTGGGCTGGGCCCTTTGTGCCCCATCCCTCCCAACACAGAAGCCAGCCTAGGAGGCAGGGCCCCTCCAGATAGCCTTTCCTTGTGGGGGGGCGGGGATCCCTGCTGTAGTCTGCTCCCCGTGCCTCCTCCTCTGCGGGGACTCAGACTTCTAGTGGAAGTGTTCACTGTAGCCCTTATCAGAGCTCTCAGAGCCCTGCCAACTCCTGCAATAAACTGAGACCCTCCTGAGCAGCCACACAGCAGGTGGGTGGGCAGCTGTAAATCTCAGGGCACCAGCGCCCAGAGGAATATTACACAGCCATCAAGGCTGATAGTTATGAAGACTATGCCCACAAAGGAAATTGCTGACACCAAGGCTTGCAGCTGGCAGGGCACGGGATTTATCTGCACCGTGATCCGTGCAGAGGGAAGCTGCAGTCGACAGGTCTGTGAGAGTGATGGGGGCTGAGGAAGCCGGCCTGGCTTCCAAGGAGGAATTTTCTCATCCTTTTATCTCTATCTCTAGAAGCGTGGCTTGTGCAATAAATAACGTCTTTCTTATCACAGGACCATGTCCCAGTAAATGAGGTCTGCGGCTCAAGTCTTGCGCCCTGATTCCCACCCACAGACAAGCCATCCAACCAGAGAGAATGAGAGGGCCACGAGGGGCTCACAACCTCCCCGGACTCAGAGGGTAAAGCCACACAGCCTGAAACACGAGCTCTGGAGACACAGGCTGCTGCTGTGGGCTGGGAGAGAGACAAGGGCCAGAAGGGCAGACAGGGTCCCTGTCCTTGCTCTGGAGATATCCTCTGTCTCCGGAACTCTGGAAGCCGTATGACCAGGATCTGGGTGGCAGACAGGGAAATGGTCCCATTTTGAAGGGTTTGGTTTGGCCAAAGCACCCGTTGCAGGGTAGGACAATCAAAGGTACAAAGAGGATCCCACGGGTCTAGGGGAGACTCAGCTTGGCGCCAGGCCAGGGGCCACAGCATGGGATCAGCACGCAGGACAGAGAAGTATGACAACCAGACTGAAGAAGTTGGAGGGACAGGAGGAAGGATGGTGGGTGGAGATGGGGGGGGGAGCCATGGATAGTTACAGAAGGTTAGCGAAGGCGGCCGGTGCAAGACACAGCTGGCGGAGGCTAACTGCTCCACCCAGGAGGAAGCAAGAGAGGGGTTCCAAGTGGGAGGAGCCCAGACCTGCCAGGCCCAGGAAGAGGCTGCGATTTGCCAGGCTGACCTTAGCATAGGCAGTGTGGGCAAAGCAGAGCAGTGCCCCGGGGCTTCTCATGGAGCTATGCACAGCCCTGTACCCTGCTGAGGGCAACTTAGAAATAGCCCTGGCTCCCCTGTGCTCTGTCCCACAAACAGCCTTCTGCCCTGCGTCACAGATAAAGACACTGAGGTTCGCATGGGGCTGGTGCCAGGGCAGAGAGGGGGGCCCTGGGCACTTAGTGTGTGAGTGCTGCCTTCCTCTGCCTCCCAGACACCCTGAGGTGCAGCCTAGGTGAGGGGAGGGGGAGCTTCATGTAGGACAGACCCTAGCCTGCCAGCTGGCCATAGCCATCAGTCAACTCTGGTCACTGCCTTGGCTGGGTCCCACTCCAGGGAGCATACAAACTCTGCCCTCTACACCGGGGACCCTCCCCTATGTCTCAGGTTCCCCTTCACAATCCCTACTGGGGTCAGAACAACAGCCTGGCTTGTGGGACAATGTATAGGAGTTGAGGGGAGCAGAAGGGTACACTTCCTCTCAGAGAAGAGGGACCAACAACCTCTGAGGCTGCAAGGCCAGGTCTGAGTTTTCTGGCCACCCCTGTCCAAGGGAATGCGACAGAACCCCAGTGTGTCTCAGCCAGGAACACAGTTCAGGGCACTGATAGTCTCCATACCCGACCAGCCCTCGCCATGCATGTCCCCTGGCCACTGAGCTCCCCGTGTGTGAGCCTTGTGGCCTCTGACAGTGTTCCCAGCGATCAGTGTGGCTTTGTTCAGGCTGTCTTCAGTTGGTGAGATTATTTTCGGCGCCCTTGGTCTACTTCTGGCATTCCTCCGGGTGTGAAGAACCCTTGGGGTTGGCAGGGGGACACATCCTGGGATGCAGCACGGGCCTTCTGGGCACTGAGCTCACTCACGCATGACTGTTCGGGCTTCACTCCAGGCCAGCAGTGCTGGAGAAGGTGACTGTGGTCCTGATGTCTCCATGCCTTCCTCTGGTCCTCCATAGTTGGTCCTGTCCACTTAGCCCAGAGGAGTCGGCAAACACCACGGCCTGGGGTGCCAGTGAGCAGAGAGGGCTCACAGTGATTTGTTCTCCATCCCCCCCTAGGGTGGTAACAGGAAGTGCCCCCCCTCTATCCTGAGACCCAGACGGCAGGAATGTGGGTGCCATGGGGCTGAGCCACCGAGAACTTCAAGGCATGTGCGGTTCCGGGAGCCCCTGGAGGTGGCTGTCCACTGTAAGAGGGGCCAGGGGCTTTGATGTGAGGGTCCGGGTGGGGTGGGGTGGGCAGCTACCCTTGCAACTCTGACACGGTCTGGGATCGTCAAGAAAAGCCAGTCCTTATTCTGTCTTCCCAGACAGAGCCCCAATAAACCTGTAAAACGGGGTTCTGAGGATCGACCATGGTCAGTGGGAGGGACAGGAGCCAACAGGAGAGAATGAGATTGCTGTTGTAATTTTTAAAAACAGCACACGAGAGAAAGACAGAGTTGGGTGGTGGGGTTTTATTTTACTGGGGGAAAGTGAGTGGAAAAGGGGGGGAGGGAGAGACAGAGAGACAGGCCCAGAAGCAGACAGGGTGGGCAGGGCCCTTTTTAAAAGGGAACACGGTGAATGTGCACAGGTGGTGCTCTTAGTGGCTGCCCCTGAGGACGTATCCTGTCAGGACCCCAAGGGCTGGCCAGTACAGATGCCGGAATACTGACAGTTGTGACCATCAACACCTCCCTCTAGAGAGGGGTTGGACTCAGGGTAGCTCGTCTCACAGGCCAGGCCAGTGAAACTTGTCTCAGTGCCTTTGTATGGTGGGGAGGGAGAAGCTTGAGGACGTTTTCCTAACTAAGTCATCTATGGTGTCCTTCCCAGACATTGCCCGCAGGGACACCACAGCTGCCGTCAAGGGTGAGTTCTGAGAAGGAGCCCCTTCTGCCAGCAGGTCCCGGGCCTTTGCCTCCACAGGGCAGAACAAAACGCAGCCTCAACCACACCCCTGCCCCCACATCTCCAGTTCCTCTACACCCTGAGTCGGTCTCCCCTGATTACACTAGAAGTGACCCCATCCCCACGGGGCCACTCCCCAGAGCCCTGGCTTGTTGAAGCAGCAGCATCCCTATGCGGGTGGGGTCTTCCTCAGGCAGATGAGAACAAGAATCGATGTCCCATGGATCCCATGAGACCCACCCCAGGACCCTACCTGACCATCACCCTGAGGTCGACTACGGGCCAACAGTCAGGTGCCATAAGTCTCCCCCACACCAGCCCACCAGCAGAGAGAGGGTGCACCCTGCGGGGCCTCACTGGGGAGCTGCCTGGACTGACCCGCCACCCTCCTACAGTGCCCACGGCGGCTTCCCACGGCGGCTCCCTGCTCCAGCCAGCATCCTCCAGCGGTTCCCTGTTCCTGTGGCTGACTCTGTGCGTTCTGCTTGGCGTGGCGTTGGGCCTGTACTGTGGCCAGGCCAAGCGTGTCGCGGCAGTCCTGGGGGATCTCCGGGACTGGCTCCTGGTCCTCATCGTGCGTCTGTGGCACACAGCCCTTGCCTGTTGCCACCGCCTCCTGCATCTCTGACACCTGCTGAATGGCAGTTTCACCTCTGAGCGTCGCTGGGGGTGATGGCGTCGGAGGCCTGGGGTGGTTTGGGGGGTTTGTGCATGGTGGTGGGGCCCAGGCGCTAAGACCATCCCCAAGATAGCTCTGCTAGTCACGGCTTGACAACCCAGGAGCTCTGCAGTGGATTGGGAGGGAAAGGGGGCACCTCAGGCCTGCCCACCAGCTGCAGATCCCGCGCGTCCACTGAACCTCTGTAGACACCGTTCTGCCATGCGTGTTGCGACGTTAAGGGAAGCAAGCGCACAGTAATGAGCTTCAGGACCCCCTAGACCTGCCTGGAGGGGGAGCCCTGAACACAGCAAGGAGGCCCAGTCAGACACCAGGGGGATCCACCGAGGGGGGGGCCCTGTACCACCCTGGAACAAACATCTGATCAGGGTTTGGGAGCCAGGGTGAGGGTTATGGTTGTCCTCTTAAGATGTCTCTCCACTTACATGTGCAGAAACAGATTCCACCTGGAAGCATCTGCAGCCTCTTTAACCTCAGGACTATTGCAGAAATGAGGGGTGCGAGGCAGTTGTCGAAGAATCCCTCCAGGCCAAGCATGTGTGTCTAGGCACCAAAGCACACCCTCCACCCACCCACACCTTCTCACCCCCACAACCCACAGGTCCTTTGCGGCTGTCATTCATGAGAACTGGGGGGACCCACAACGCCCCCAGGACCACATCCTCCCCAGCAAGATGCGCCCAGACTCCTAGCTCACTGAGGTGCCATCTGCCCCTCTCTGGCCTTCAGGGACTCCACACAGTGGTCTCCCAGTTATAAAGTTTGGGGGCACAGTCAGGGAGGGCCCAGTGGAGAGAAACCTGCTTCCAGGAGTGGTCTAGAGAGGACCAGCCTGGGAAGCCACTCACCAGGATCAGCTATCACCATGGCTACGGTTGCCTGCACCAACCCTGCTGCCCCAGGACCTGTCCCACCTCATCCGCCCTGGTAAAAGGCAGGCTCATCCCTGGCCTGTGTTCCAACAGACACTAAGGGCTGAGGGGAAGACCTCCAGGTCACCCTTCTGTCCCTGCTTCTGAGAGTGAATACCCTCCAGGAAGGTCACCCATGTGTTACAATAGGGAGCCAGGGCTTCCCGCCTCCCAGCCCGCATTTGCTGCAAAGGCCACCGAAAATAAAAGTGTGCCCAGCTCTGCAGGGGCCACAAAACTCTACCCTAGCTAGCTTTGGTGTCCGTTTTCTGCTTTGTTTCCTTTCTACAGTGCAAATCCAACACAGCCAGGCAAACGGTCTGCCACTGTGTTAACATCCCCAACGCTGTCTCGTTTTAGAATAAATGTTCAAAGACACACACAGAGATGCATGCGCCTAGGAGATGCCATTAAAAACCCATCCGTGTGTCTGGGGGATACAGGACAAGACTGTTTAAATCATGAACGAACAGCGAGTCCGGGGCTGGGAGGCGGGGCCTGAAGTGGTTGGTAAAGACACAAGGACCTCATCCACACTGCATCTTAGATGTTTCGTCTTTATTTTGATATTTTTGACTTGAGAATCAGACACGTGGAGGCTTAGGACTCATCACTATCGGCTTCACCAGGAAGATAGACACAAGGGCTGCCCCCCAAAACAAGCTGGAGAAGAGCAGAGGCATCTTGGGGAGACCTGAGGACCATTCTGCAGCCTCGGCCACCCATCCGGAGAGCCACACATGGTCCAACAGGCCCTGCCAGCACTCCTAGGCCAGAGGCCCTTCCCCAGGAGTCCCCAGCACATTGACGTCTGGGGACAAGTCCAGGCATCTGTAGGTGAATGAAGGTCTCTCTAGATTTGACCAGGTCCCAGACTGACTCCCAGAATCCCCAAGAGGCAGCTGCCAACGGCAGGCCTACACCTGAGGCAGATCCTAGGTCCCAGGGAGCCCGGTTCACCCCCTGTTCCTTCAGGTCCTAAATGGCTACAGCCTTAGTAGGGATGTGAGGCAGAAGATAAGGAAGGAGCCAATCCCCGGGAGACAAAAGAGGGATCTCAGAGCTAGGCAGTGTTCCCATGGCCCAGAGTGGGGGCTGGTGTGTCAGTCTGGGGAAAGGGACCTCAAAACAGGTCTCCAGCCCCCATACCTCCTCCTGGGGCTCAGCCAGGCCACCACCAAAGCCCTCACACAAGGCGGGAGTCAGTCTGCCTGGCCCTCACCTCCCCAGACAGCCATCCCCCATCCTGACCATCCTTGCTGGCTTCAATTCTTAGGGCCCAAGTGATCCCCCTCAGGCCCCCCACAGCGAGCCTGGGCCTACACCTTTGTGAAGCCGGTGCCTTTACCTGGAAACACACTAGCCACTGATGGTGGCCCGTGAGCTGACACAGGCCAGGGTCACCTTGCCTGAGAATGGAAGAATTAGCATTGGAGTGCAGCTTCAGACTAGGGCCAGGGACACTAAATGCACTCACTGAGATCCAGATGATCTGGGTCTCTTCCACCATGGGGGGCCCCACCCCTGGGACACAGAGGACCATGCCACCTAGAAAGCCTCAAAGGGAGGGGGTGGGACTCTCCTACCACAGCAAGCGGCCCCAGACATCCTAACATGCAGATTCCTACCAGGATCTTCCACCTGCCGCTGTACGGGAGGGGGGATTACGGGAGGGGGGATTGCCTCCTGGGGACCTTAGCTGAAGATGCTATAGGATGAAGGACAGCCCTCTCTGGGAGGGGCAGCGACTCAGGTGCCAGAGCCTGCGGTGGTGCCGGAAGGCTGCTAACCCAGCACCATCGCCGCTGCTCTGCAGACACACGCCCGTCCTCACACATGCTCACATACATGCACATATATGGGCAAACGGTCACACAGAGGTGGAGTGTGGATCACACTAACCAAGGCCAGGACAGGAAGCCAGAAGGCACCCCATGCCCAAGTCTCTGGGTCTCTGTCATCACCATCAGGCTCTCCAGGGGAACACAAATGCTCTGCTCTTGGTGGGCGGAGCCAAGTGACACATGCAGAGCTGCACTGGCCAGTCTGGGCGGGGCGGGGCCCCAGGCCCGGTGCAAGCCTTGGGGGAAGGGGGCCACCCTTGCACAGACTAGATGACAGCACTCTTCTCCCCCTGGAAGGAGGTGCGGGAGGCTGGCCTGGACAGCAGCAGCTCCTTCTCATGCACCAGGCTGTCCAACAGGTCTTCCTGGCGGTAGTTGTGGTAGACCTTCAGGAAAGCCAGGGTGGTGATCGCCAGCCAGGCCAGCCACGAGGCCCACAGACCAAACTGCATGGAAGACAGAGCAGCATCGGTGTGTTATGGGGAGAGGGGGACTCACTGTCCCTGTGCTCTATACCCACCTCCCAGCTGTCGCTCTGCAGGCAAGGGAAGGGCACACTAAGGCAGGAGGCCGGTCATGGGCCTGAGAGCCCATGCACACCCACAGGGGGTTTATTCTCTGCAGTGACTGTTATACCCGGCACCTGCAAGAGCCCAGGTTTGCACAGAGGCTCGGGGTGCTCTGCCGTTCTCAGCTGAGGAGGAGCAGGACCTGGGCAGTGCTCTCTTCCCACCCCGACCCACAGGGACCTAAGGAGTGCCTGTAGACCAGGGAGCCTCTCTAGTCAGGGGGATAAATTGACCTTTAGCTGCTGCTTCCAAACAGCTGAAGGAGAAACAATGTAATCAGCTCCGAGTCTACACTACATCAACACGATTCTCGTTTGAGCGTGCTTGTCCTCAGACTGCCCACGCCTCCGTCTAATTGGTCTAAATTAGTTCTAAAACATCGGAAGCTAAAGTTGCGTGAAGGTCTCTTTGACGGCTTCAGCTCATCTCCGCAAAGAACTTTAGGACTTCCAAGGGCTTTTGGGCAGTGCCAAGCATAGTCTCAGTCCGGCCTTTGACAAACCAGAGCGTCCAGAAGCCAGGCTAGGGCATGGAAGGACACCACGGAGGGCGAAAGCCCCACGTGTGTGGGAAGGGGCAGACGTCCATGCTCAGCCCCACCAAGGTGCCCCTAACCCGCACCACCTGTCTGGGGCACAAATGCAGCCACCCAGGGACAGGAAAATCCTAAAGCTTTCCCAGGGCCCTCAACCAATATGGCCCCATAGTCTAAAAGCCACAGGAAAGGTAGGGCAAGGTGGGGTCGGAAATCTTCCTAGGGCAGGTCCCTCATTTCACCTCGGACACAGCACCAGGTGGCTCAGGGACCCTCCAGCATTGTCTGAACGTTTGGAACCAGACCAGAATCCAAGCCCTGTCCTCCTGGCCACTCCTGACGCTACGCGCCCCACTTTCTGTGCCCCCTGCCCTCTCACGCCTGCCCTCCTCTTCCCTCCCACCCACTCAGCACTTCCCACGCTCTGCCCCTGAGCTGATTCTGCATGTCTGCCCTGACTTCTCTCACTGCCCCACCCCCAACACACGCCCACAAGTCCTGCTCAGAGACCCAGCTCTCCCAGCCCCCCGGGAGGGGGGGGGAGTTCTCCTGCTGCTTCCACAGCCTGCACACACACCCCCACCATGGCCTCACCACATGTGAGTCTGTTTCCTTGCCTGGGATCAAGAGTCCGTCCTGTCTGTTGCGGTCCCCGTCCCCATCCCGCACACAGTCGCTTCTCTTCCCACCCAGAAGCCCCACCTACCTGGGCAATAGCAAACTGGTGGTAGAAGCTGGAGTTGTCCACATTCAGCTCCAAGTTCATGTCCTGGAACCCCTCGCAGCTAAAACAGCATGACAACAAGTGGCTAGTCACTCGAGAGTCCCTGAGCCCAAAGGCAGCGAGCACCAAGCCAGGGAGCAGAGAATACTCCCCCCCCCCACACACACACACAGTGATGTCAACTTAAGACAAGCTAGCCACCTGAGGGAACCTCGACTGAGGAAAACGCTTCTGTAAGACCCGGCTGCAGGCAAGCCTGCAAGACATTTTCTTAATTAGTGAGCAATGGGGGTGGGTCTAGACCAGTGTGGGAGGGGCCATCCCTGGGCTGGTGGTCCTGGGTTCTATAAGAAAGCAGGCTGAGCAAGCCATGGGGAGCAAGCCAGTAAGCAGCACCCTCCATGGCCTCTGCATCAGCTCCTGCCTCCAGGTTCCTGCCCAGCTTGAGCTCCCGGTTTGACTTCCTTTGATGATGGGCTGTGATGTGGAAACATAAGCTGAACAAACCCTTTCCTCCCCAAGTTGCTTTGGCCATGGTGTTTCATCCCAGCAACGGTAGCCCTAAGACAAAGGGAGCAGTCCCCAAAGGTGACTAGAGACAGATGCCTCCACTGGAAGTCCGCTCTGACCCTTCATTGGGTGGAAAAAGACGAGGCTTGGAGGAAGGGGCCCTGAACACAAGAGGCAGCCTCCGCTATCTCATCACTGTCTGTCTGGCACTGGGGGGGGCAGGAGGTCACAGGCTGCTCTGCCTAGTCCCTCAGCTCCCCAGTCTGAGACGGAAGTGGCATCCCCAAGTCACATTGCACAGTGGTCCTGCCTCTGTGCAATGAGGGTGGGCAGCCTCAGACCGCCACTGGCAACAGGAGCTGGAGTCAGCAAGTGAGGCAGGCCATGCCAACTATAAAGTCCTGCCTGACGCCTCTTGGCTCACAAGGACTTTCCATGGGTGATGCCGTAGGCTACCGGGCCAAAGAAGGAGGTGCTTGGTGTCGAGTGGGAGGGCCTTAGGGACAGAGCAACAGGCGGGGGGCACAGGCGGGCAAAGCCTCGGACTCGGAATGGGATTCGAGAGGAAAAGCATCTGGAGACCCAGGTAAGGGTGGGCCAAAGCGGGGCCCAGGCTTACCTGCTTTGCGTAGTGCCTTTCTCGGTGATGGTGTCACACCACATGGTGAAGCCCACACTCACGATGGTGCTGGCAATGAAGACCAGGAAGACCACAAAGGCACTGACCAGCAGGTTCAGGAAGGCGTAGAAGAAGGAGCTGCAGCGGGACCAAGAGGAAGATGCGGAGGGAGCCGCCATTCAGGGACCCACCCCTAGTCGCTCCCCTTGATACAGGGAGGGGACGCATTCCTGGGTTTCCCGGTGAGCACTTGGGGTCCTGATGGGGCTGAATGGGGCTTGAAGGGCCTGCTTCCCTCTCCTCAGCTGCCATCCAGGAAATGTTCCAAAAACTGAGCAGCCATGTTCCCTCACAGACCCAGAGGCAGGGTCTTCCCACCACTGCTGCACCGGGGAGTCAGGGCCGAGCCAAGATCCCCAGGTCATAAGGCCCACGGCCTGGGAGCCAGCACGCACACCGAAAACACAAGACATCCTCAAAAGTCACCCACTCACACATTCACACACACTCATACACATGGGTTTGCGCCCCCTCAAATGCATAGGCCGAAACCCCAAAGCCCGAGGCGTGAGCACCAGGCCCTCTAACCCCTAAGCAGAGAAGGGCACAAGACTCCCCCTCCCTTCTCCTCTACTGCCTGAGGGCCAGCCTGATTCCAAATCACCCGTTAACACAGAGAAAGAGGGCACATGGGAGCTATCACCCTACCATAATCTCCAGGGTCACCCAAACCATGGGTGGTCCATAGCACAGAGCATGATGGTCAATCAAGGAGCCTGTGGTGGGCTTAATACTAGGTCCAGGTCAGTTGTGCTCAGATTCTGAACAAAGTGACAAGCATGCCCTCACAGCGGGGAGCCAACACACGAGCCTCTAAGAAGCGGCTGCCCTGACCTGGCAGCCATGGGCCCTGCCGGCTGATGGGTTTGCTCACCCATGCTGTCATCCCGCAAGCCTCCTTGACCTCACGCCAACTCTGCGCTGGACACGAGGACCAAGGCATAGGAACAGGGTAACCCTGACTACCCAAGATAAACAAGCTAAGAGTAACTCAGGTCACGTCAGTCACCAACCCTCCGCTGGCGACTCCCAGCTGTCAACAGGTGGAACCACCTGATGTCCCCCGGGGTCACATGGGGCTTCCTGTGAAGGACACACAGTGTTGATGACTAACAGGCGGCTGGCAGCAACATACCCCAGGCGTGAGCTGTGATCAGGTGGTCACAGCATCAAGGGCAGGCAAGGAGTGAGGACACCCTGCCATGGCTACCAACCCAGGGCTCCGAAGACTGTGCCAGTGGGCAAAGGCCTCCGTGGTGTCTCTGCTGCCTGAAAGCAGCTCTGTGCATCGCCCGCTTACCCTGGGCTCATTCGCTGCGCCCGTCCCTGGATCCTCCCGGCACACGTGGCCATCCTTGGTCCCGCCCACCTGACACCTATACTGTGTGCCTTTCTAGCTGCCCCCATCCTTGCCCAAAGGCTGACCCAGGAACCAAGGCAGGACCTGATGTGCACTGCTCTTGTGTGGCTACAGCGGGGACTCGGTGCCTTCCTCTCCCAGCGTGAATCAGAGCAAAGACTCGACACACTTTGTTCCAGGTTAGGATGAAGACATGGAAAGGGGAACTTAGCTTCCAGGCTGCCTCAGGCTAGCAATGTCCCTGCAAAAATGCCCGGTCTTTTCCACAGGATTCCTAGGTCCCCCCTGTCCAGGAGTGGTGACAAAGACATTGTGGTCCTGTGATGGCTAGGTGTGTGTGTGTGTGTGTGTGTGTGATTTTTGCTGTTTTTGTCAACTTGACCCAAGCTATGGTCATCTGGAAAGAGGGAACCTCAACTGAGAAAATGGCTCCACCCAATTGGCCAGTGGGCAAATCTATGGGGCATTTTCTCGATTAATGATGGATACGGGAATCCCAGCCTACTCTGGGAAGGGCCCTCTTTGGGTAGGTGGTCCTGGGTTGTGTAAGAAGCAGGTGGTGCATGCCATGGGTAACAGATCATTAAGTAGCGCTCTGCCATGGCCCTTGCTTCAGTCTCTGCCCCCCTGCTCCTATCTCCCTGCGTGATGGATGAACTAAAGGCTGTGAAATGAAATGAACCTGTTCCTCTGAGCCTCACTTCTCCCCCTCAGGTGGGCACTAGGAGCCCCCTCCCATAGATCACTGTGGGGACTGGGGGAGCTCGTGTGGGTGAAGGACGTGCACTCTGGGGTTCTCACTGACCGCCCCATACTGACCCAGGACAGACCTGGACTGGGCTGGGCTGAGAGGGACCCACTGCCCTCCCAGAGCCTCAGTGAGCTCACCTGCATCTGTACCCAGGCATAGAGTTGATATTTCTGCCGGGAACTTAGGGTATACACGGTGAGGAACTAGACAACTGGAGACTGGAGCTGGGGTACTTCCATGCCCACCCACAAAGAGACAAGGACACCTCAGCCCATGGAACCCTCCTCTCCAGTAGCCTGTGAGTAGGGGATGTCAGGTGCTCACGCCATGTGGCTGTGCTGCCCCACACACACACACCAAGGAAAACGAGGTGACCAAGGGCAAGTCCCCAGAGGCAGAAGCAAGGACATAGGCCTGTCCATGCACAGAAATCCACTTCATGGGATAGTGGAGAACTGAGGACTTCGGGCCCCTCCCGGGGAACCTCTGTCCCTCCCCCCACTGGACAGCCGCTTGTCATCTTCCCAAGGTCCCTGTTCATCATCATTAGCGTCCTCAGAGCCTGACATTCCTAACTTCCCTGATCGAGCATCCCAACCGTTGCCTCCTTGCTGAGGGTTGAGCTGGCCGTGGCGCAGACAGCAAGGTGGGAGCACAGCCCAGCGTCACATCAGGTCTGTCTCAGAGGCAGCGGGCAGAGTTCTGCGATCCCCACATAGGGCAGGGCATGCCACCTTGCAGCGCCTGGCTCGCCCATGTCCCTGAAGCGGGACTAGCACAGCAGATCTGAGACACAGGCGCTCTGAGCCCAGCCCACCACACTGGGTCACCACCAGCCAGAAGTCTCTAGCTCTTCTGTGCTTTCATTTTCTGGGTTTTTGCTTTTTGATGTAACATGCTGGACCTTCTAGATCTCTGAAGAACTTGATGTGCCCAAAGCCACAGCTGGATCCCGTTTCCTAGATTTAGAATGTCCCCCTTCCCTGTCCCTGAACACACTCACCCAAGGACAGGACCACACGGGCAGCGGGTGGAAAGGCACAGCGCACACAGGGTTAACCCGTCTTCCTCTCACTGCATCTCAGTGTGACCAGCCTTGGATGTGCTGTCTCCATGGCGACAGCTATCCTGGGAAGCCCTGGGAGCAATTTGAAGGCTGAGCGACAGGTGCGAGCAGGCAGATGGGTTACGTTAAGTCAGTGCTCCCTGGCCCGTCACTCACTGACTGCTACCAACCCCAGCTCAACGGGGCTGCTCTTGTACAAAACTTGGGGAACATAGCTCACCTGGGCCCTCCCATCTCCCTCAGGGCGCATCCCTGAAACCACAGGTGCCAGGGGCCATTCACTGGAACGGTACACCACCCTCTGCAATGCGGTTCTGGACCCTGCTCTCTACACCCCTATGTCTGAGCAGCCTGAGCCTGCTTGGCATGGCAAACATACCCTATATAAGGAAAGGCCGGTTCCATCGCCACGGCACGTGACCCATATGCTCAGTACCAACCAAGAGAGTCCCTGAAGAGGCTACAGGGCAACACTCCAACTCCATACTGACCAGGATGTGCCTTGGAGACCTCTGGAGCTGGCACCTAATCTCAGAATCAGAGAGTGCCTGGAACATAACCAGACAGGCCCTCTAAATGCAGGGGCTGGCAAGCCTGGTGTCTGTCCTCCACAGGCTGGATATTCAGTGGCCCCACAAGCCACCGTCTGCCACATGAGCTCACTGTAAATGCCTGTCCGGCCTCCTTAAGTCTCTTGTGTCCCCTTCAATGGCCTGCTACTACAGTCTGACTGGCAATTTTGCTTGAATCACAGTGCTCTCTCTCCCCACAGGGCACCTTATCCACCGCTAGCATCTGCAGACCCAACCTCCCCAGGGGCGCTGAAGAGCTGACTCAACTCTTGGCCAAGTCATGAGTCTACAATCATAACAGGCGCAGCATCGTGGCCACAAAATTGCAAGCCTTGTGGTCCAGACATTTTTCTGTCCCTCTCCATTATGTGGGGGCACCCCCGGGCTCTGTGCCTTGCCTGAGGACAGACTGAAAAGGTGTCTCATCCCCTGCTTGTGATGGGTATACGTGGCCTGGGGTGGGTCACCAGAGCTGTGCCCCTAGACCCACAAGGACTCTATTGAGCACTGACAGCACAGTTGGCTGACTGCCACCTAGACTGTACAGGGGACAGGAGGAAGGACAGCAGCCAGACAGCCACATGACCCTTGCCGATAAGTCTGGTAGTCAAGCAGGATTATATATGTCAGGCGTTTCTGAGAAGACAAGACTAGACACAGTCATGCTAGTCTACAGAAGCCTGGACATAAGTCATGCAAGGTTAAAAACAGGGAAGCACCAAGAACAGAAGCAGAGGATAAGGAACCCAATTGTTCCCCAAGAGGGAGTGTGAACTGTCCAGACCTGACCTCTGGTGTGGGCCAAGCCCATGCGAGCTCTCTCCAAGTCACCTACAGTCTCCTAAATCCTGCCATAGGCCTCAGCTAACTGTGTGACAAAGGCCGCGGGACCCGTTTGTACACCAGTCAGCCTGAAGCATTCCTCGGGAAGGCAAGTACGACAAAGGAGCCCTGCATAGCTGGAAACTCCAAGCCCCACGCTTGTGATGGGCTTGCGGTGGGCGCTTCACTAGGCAGATGAACACCTACCGTGACAAAAGGAAGAAGCGGGTGAGCCAGGGTCTACAGCCGAACCTGCAGGCTTGGGGCTCTCCATGTCCTCACTCAGCCTCTGGTGGTCCTACACACACACACACACACACACACACACACACACACACACACTCACTGGGTTTCTCTAGAGAGCTGCCCTCTGCGCCACCTGCAGGCTTGGGGCTCTCCGTGTCCTCATCCCAGCCTCTGGTGGTCACATGCACACACACACACACACACACACACACACACACACACACACACACACACACCACTCACTGGGTTCTCTCCAGAGAGCTGCCCTCCATGCCACCTGCAAGCTTGGTGCTCTCCGTGTCCTCATCTCAGCCTCTGGTGGTCACACACACACACACACACACACACACACACACACACACACACCACTCACTGGGTTCTCTCCAGAGAGCTGCCCTCCGCTCCGCCTGGCTAGACCATGTGCCCCATGAGGCTGCTCTCTTACACGGAAGCCCAGAAGGACAGAGGTTGCATCTGAGCCATCAAGTCATGGCCCTATCTTTCCACCAGCCAGTGCCGTGTCTCCTGTCCCAGGGTCCTACCACCTGCTCCAGTCTGCACACAGTGAGGTGGCTCCCAGTTTGGTGACGAGCACTCTCAAGCTCATCTGGACAGTGGAAGACTGAGCGCCAACCAGGGGTCTTGAAGAGGGTCAGGGCTCTGTCCTCCAGCAGGCACGGCCTCACCCTAGACCGAACCCCAGCCTCACGAACAGGGGTTTGGTCCTTATCATGTGGCGGCTCCTAGGACCGTCCCTGGCTTCCCATAGACTCCCGTGGAAAACCTCAGCAGAGTGAGTTGAACTCTATCGCCTCAAAGCTACATCCGAGTCCTAACCTTGGTACCTGTGGACATGGCTGCCTCAGGAGGAGCAAGGGACAGAAACAGGCAAGAGGCTATTCGGGAACACTGGAATGACCCAGCCCAAAGCTAAGGAACACACAGGGAGCTGGGGCCACCGGGAGTAGAAGTGTAGGAAGGGCTTCCACAGACCAACTCTCGGGACACTTTGATTCTAGACTTTCAGCCTCTGGTATGGTGAGAATGTAACTGTTTCAAGTTCCTCACCCCTGGTACTAGCAAGAGTGCCCCTCACCCAACCTCCTGCACCCCCACAATCATCCTCAGACCCCTGTGCTCACCAACCACCTCCCTGCAAGGGTTGGGGAGCTATTAAAAACATGTGTGAGGTGGAACACAGGTTGAGGGGGGCTGGATCTGGGGATTCCCTCTCCATGCAGAAGCACCGTCACTCCAGGACCCAAGAAGCCTGGGGCAGGGCAAGGGTGGGCGAGGGTGGGCGAGGGTGATCGAGGGTGGGTGAGGGTGGGCTCTTGGTTGCTGCTGGCTGGGGACACCAGGTAAAGCACATTCCACTGGCTCCAGCAGAGTGACAAAGCAGGAAAGGGTGAAGAAAATCTGGAGGCACTGAGACCACCCACATCCCTCCCTCTCTCTCTCCCTCTCTGTCTCTCTCTCTCTCTCTCTCTCTCTCTCTCTCTCTCTCTCTCTCTCTCTCTACACACACACACACACACACACACACACACACACACAGTACATGCCTTCAGCCAAGGCCACAGTGTCAGATGTGAGCTTATGGAACTTCCCAGACACCCTCTGTTATCTTTTTCCAACACGGGGTGGCCCCTTTTCCCAAAGTGTGGTCCCTTCCCCCTTTCACAGGAGAGAGGTGTAGGCCCAAGGCTGTTGCAAGTGGCCCCAGGTTCCCAAGGAGTGTGGCCTAGTTGAGTCGGAGAGCCCAGGCCTGCGGCCATGACAGTGCAACCTCTGTACCCCAAGGGGTCAGAACCCGGAAGCTGGACTCTGGGAACAGAAGGAGATCATGAGGGTTGGACAGATGGCCTCATGGCCCCTGGGCCTGTGTGAAGACAAAGGGTAGTCTGCTTGAAAGTGGTGAGGCTGCAGATTGACACTTGCAGGCCTGCCTCTGCAGCAGGGGAGGTGGAGGCACTCATGCCCCTGGGAGAGGAGGACCTGGCGGGAAGCCAGGAAGTGCGTGAGTGCTGCATGTGTCTGTGCTGGGCTGCTCACAGGCCTCCACTTACCCCTCATGTCCCTTGCAGAGGAAGAAGAGCGTGCGCCATGCGTGCGCTGCGGCCAGCAGCAGCGACAGGAGGCTGGCGAGCAAGCTGAAGCGGCAGGCGGCCGGCGGGCCCCACTCCTGCACGGTGAAGCGCGGCCGCCCTTGCATCGTCAGGTTGGCGCTCAGCCACATACCCTCGGTAAAGAGCAGGCAGCGGCCGCGGAAGTCGTGGCCGTTCTCGGACAGCGGCACCACCACCACGAAGCTGAACAGGAAGGCCAGAAAGTAGCAGACGCACTGCGCGAAGAGAAAATTGTTGAGTGCCATGGCGGTGCCAGGAGGAGAGGGGCGACCGGAGAGACCGCGGGCGGGGAATGCGGCCGCGCCAGGAGCCGGGCCGCGAGTCCCCGGCACCGCACAGGCCTGGCCCGAACCGCGTGGGAGGCTGCGCAGTGACGGCGCCCGCGGGTCTCTCGCGTTGCGCGCAGACGCGTGCGCACCGGCCGGGCGTGGGGCGCGCCTGCGGTCAGCACCGCGGACAGATCCCGCTGCGGTGCGGGTTAGACTGGCTGGCTGCAAGCCACGCTGGAAAGGCCAGACTGCCTTCTTAAAAGAGATGTGCCATGGGAACCTGGCAGGGGCACCAGCATCTCTAACTCGGCTTGGGGAGAGAGACCCGACTCTGTCAGTAAGGGTACCAGGAGTTAGTAGCTAAGGAGAAAGATGGAGATGAATTTGCAGTGCAGACTGTGGTGACTCCTTTGCCAAGGCCTTTGTGAGGAGTATGGAGGAGGGAGGCAGAGAGTGAAGGAGTCAGGTCGATAGGGATGGAGACAGAAAGCAGGGATGGTCCAGGCATCCCTGGGCTGGAGCCGGCCTGTGAGCTGTTTGTACTCTGAGAGCCATGCCCTCAACCCTACACAGTGGGGCCCTCCAGCCTGTGTTTGTAAGATAAATAATGGTTGCCCTGGGCACCTCATTAAGACCTCTTTGCTGAGATGGAACTGCTGGTGCATTAATTAATAGAATTAATGACTTTTCTAGTTTCCCTTAAGACCAAGTAACCGTTAGTCCAATTCCCAGAATGATCAAGCCCTGGAGCCCTCCTTCTGGATATAGATTACATCAGCATTTTTTTCTTCTTGGCTGCAGGCACTAAAAACTCTTTTTGTTTTACTGCTGAAATAATATGCACCTGTTTTTTTTCGTTTCAACAAATATGTGTAATATTTATAATGTAAAGACAGCAAGTTCCCTCCTCTTCCCTCCACCCTGTCACTCCATCACCACTGGTGACAATTTAAAGTCTATTTATCCCAGACATTTTGCAAATAAGCATGAACAATTTTGAAAAAAAAAAGCTTCACACTATACTGTGACTGCAGGTGATTCATTCACCCAACAATGTGCAGTAGGCATTGCTCCCCGTCTGCACAAGCAGGTCTGTGGTAGTCTGTGTAGGTAACTGTGTAACACTCTATAATAACGACTGGAGTGTGTGTGACTATCCAGAGTGGGGGATTGAAAGTCTCCAGTGTTTGCTGCTTCTGCCTCTGCCGTGTAACATCCTGGTGTCTGTGTTTGTGTGGCCGTGCAGGCAGCACACGGCCTTTAAGAAAGTCTTAGAAGAGGAATAGCTGGGTCATGAGGTGTGAGCATTTGAAGTGGTGTTGGCAGGAATCGCTCATCTCCGACACTATTGTAGTCCACCCACATTGTAGACCCTGCTCCCAAGCAGGGCTTTCCACTCCATCGGTCTTACCTGGGAAAGATGACTCGCCGATTGTAAGTCACCAGGAGGTCAAACATCTCCTACACTCATTGTCATTTGCTATCCTCCTCTACCCATAGAAAACTTGTTTTACAATCTCTTGAGTACGTATAGGAGAGGCCAGACAAAGGTCTGTAGCAGCTACCCTGTCCTCGGAGAGTTCATTCCGGGTTTCTTCCACTGCCACGTCCCTCGATCCAAACCAAACGTAACGGTGGGGGAGTTCAGCCTGCCCCAACCTGAACACACGTGGAAATCCTATCCATCCGTAAGTCCTTGAAGGCTTTAACCAAAATAAAAAAGACCCTGGCAACTGAGTATCAGAGGGGTGATTAAATGTCAGCATCTGAAGCAGACAGACTCTGACACTTATGTATGAATTCCATTTAAACTTTAAAAAAAATCAGGTACTGGGGAGATGGCCAGGAGTTAAGAGCACTGGCTGCTCTTCCAGAGGACTAGATTCGATTCCCAGCACCCACTGGGGATTGGTGGAGCACAGCCAATGGTGGAGCACAGGCATCTGTAAGCCCAGTTCCAGGGCAGATCAGGAGTCCTCCTGTAGCCTCTTCGAGCACAAGGCAGACATGCAAACATTGCACAGACAAAGGTTCAGGCAAAACGCACATGCACGTAAAAAGAATGAAATTTTGATTTCAGCTTTAAAAAGAAATCAGAGATCCCCTCAGTATTTGTATCAGGCCAGATTCTCCAGAGAAATGGAACCAACAGATCAGAGGGTGCATCTATGCACAAATTGTGCAGTCTGACGCCAGTGTACGGGTGTCCTGTTTCGACAGAGACAGAGACAGGGCAGGAATGCTACTTTAGGATTTATGTCACATGGCTGTGAAGACTGACAAGCTCGCAACTTACAGAGTTGGCTGTCGAACTGGGGACCAAGATGAGAGGGGATACTTTGGCTCAAGTTCAAGGCCATTCTGATTCGGAATTCCCTGTCACCCCAAGTAGACCAGGCTTGTTCTCTACAGGCCTCTAACTGACAAAGAGGACCACTCACGGCATGGAAGGAAAGCAGCGTTGCTCCATTGATTTCAATGCTAATTTTATCCCCATGAAAACTTCCAGAATAATGTTTAGCCACATATAACCCATAAAATGAGCCATCATACTACTGGAATAGTTTCAACCTATAGAAACTATGGGAAACCTTACGATTCTTTTTTTTTCTTTTTGAGATAGGGTATCTTTATATTTCCCTAAATGACCTGAAACTCATTATGAAGACAAAGTTGGTCTTGAACTTATAGTAATCTGTAGATGGAAGTTTCTGTCCAGCCCGGTCCAGTAGAAATGTAGTCCCAACACACACACACACACACACACACACACACACACACACACACACACACACACTATTATAATTATAAACTGTTTGGCTGATGGCTCAGGCTTCTTATTGGCTAGTTCTCTCTTAATTATTAACCCATTTCTATTAATCTGTGTATCTTCACGTGGTCTTGGCTTACCAGTGATGCCCAGACCTCTGGCTTCCTTGGCAAGTACGTGCCATCTCCCTGACTCTGCCTCCTACCTTTTTCTATGCCTGTTTTGACTTCCTGTTTGTCTATTGACCAAAACAGCTTTGTTCATCAACCAATAAGAGGAACATATATTCACAGCATATGGAAGAACATCCCCCATCATCTCCTCTTTTCTGTCTAAATAAAAAGGAAAATTTTTAATTTAACATAATAAAATTATGTATAACAAAACAGTTATCAAGCAAGAACTATAGTTAACATTTGGCAAAATTTTAAGAGAAATATTCTATCATCTAGCTTATCTTTGTGAGTGTAAAGTTTTATATGTAACTTATCTTTTATCATAACTAAGGAAAACCATAACCATAACTATCTGTCTTCAACTCCATCAAAGACCCCAAAAGGATAATATATAAACTCTAAAAGTGACAGAGACATCTCTTTGCCTGGACAGTCACCCAGATTTTCTCTGTAATATTGGGGCATCCATCTTCAGCCCATAGGCTATAGTGTCAGGCAGACTTTTTAATGAAATAGGAAATTTGAAGATCTGTTTTGTCTTGTATTGGCAAAGTTTTTCAGTTGCCTTCTTTTGTAAAGCAGGAACCCTGATGGACCATTCTGTCTCTTGGCAAGCTCAGCAGTCACATTTCTTTGTAACCTGCTTCTCCAGTTTGGACTCCATGATGTCAAGCAGTCCAGGCAAGAGCAGTTTCTTGTCCAAAAGACTATCCCTGCCATGCTGAAGGCAAACTCCATAAGAGTTTCTTTGATGCTCATCTTTCTCTCTGATGTAATTGGTGTTTGCCAGGAGCAGTTGTGTCTCATTGTCATGAAAAACCCTAATAAACCATGTTAAATGCCATATTCTGTAGGTCTTTGAAAGGTTTTGAGGAATGCCTATCCACTTGAGATATATGCTTGTATATCTAGAAAACCTAATTAACATAAGTTTTGACTATTATAGGTGACTACAATCTGTGTTTAATTATACATTACATTTTAAAATGAGCTGTATAGACATAATACCTAAACTAGAGTAAAAATATACATATAACAAAATTGACCTTAAATTTGTATCAATAAGCCAAAATCTACACCAGTGTAAAGTATTCATTTCTATATCACATCATCTGCAGAGACTCTAAGGTGTGGCCATGGCTGACCCTGCTCTCTGATCTCTCAGCATTTTCCTCTTTATCTGACTCTGGGTTTGTATTACTTAGACCAATTAAGAACTCCATTTACAAAAATCCACCTGCCTCTGCTTCCTGAGTGCTCTGCTTAAAGATGTAGTACCACCACACCCAGCCCTCACAATTCAGTTTTAAAAGCCAATATTACATTGCCTGAACTCTGTGGGAAATAAAGCAATAATGAATTACATTTACAAATATTGATGCCTATCTATCTAAAACAAAAACAGTTCATTGAATTCAACTCAATGTGTTAATAAGAAAATATGGATAAGTAAAATGTACCCTACAAATGCACGAGGAGCTGAGTTGTAGGAGGCTTGTTAACGAGTAAAGGGAACAGCCTACATTCTGGGTCTTCTGGGCCGAGGCACATCTGAAAGCTATTGCCTAACACTGAGTAACCCTTTCCAGTTCTTCAGCTCTGTGTAAAAACAGAAGGAAACTACCAGAATCTGACAGTGTGTCTCTTAGACATCCAGTTTGTACCTGTTCAGATAAAAGACAAGACAAGAATGCTCATTGTCACAGCTATTGCTGACCATTTGTTTGATGGTTCTATCTAGTGAACAGAAAATAAGATTCATAGTGTCTCCATGGAAACGAGTGAAATCATCCTTATTGGAAGATAATGTGACTTTACACCAAGAACTCTCAATACAATAATTAGAATTTCCAAGAAGACTTTGTAAGATGCTTGGTTACAAGACAAACACACAAAATTCAGTCGCCTTTCTCCAAATGAGCGAGGGAGTCGGGTTTCCTGGGAAACAGACCCAGGGCCACAGGCGGCAAGAGTGGTGGTGGTGGTGCCTGGTGCAGGCCTGGCCGGAGGATCCATTGTGAGGTAGCTGTGACAGTCACACTCCTTTCTCTTTGGCCCTTCCCTGTCTCCAGCCTGTGGTTCTGAAAGTAGCTCGGGTCCAGGAAGGAGACGTCGCAATGTCTGAGCTCAGAATCATCCAGTTTCTCCTGTAAAAGGAGGGCAGAGGGACAATACCCATGTTTCCTCCAGAGATGCTGCTGGGCCGACCCTCCCCAGCACTCTCTGTGAGTTCCCAGATTCTGGCTCCTTGGGGTACCTGTGCCCACTCTGTACCTAAGAATTGAGTGCTCCCATCCCGCACCTACAGGGGGCGCCATTGGGCTTCCCGGTGATGCAGCCACACAGTCTGGCCAGCAGAGTCTCTCTCTCTGCAGCCACCCTCTTAGGACACAGACCTCAGCTGAATGTTCCAGAGTCATTGCACATCCCCGTGTCTCAGCCGTCGGCCCCTCCTCCCCAGTCTGCCTGGGTCATTCTAACACTTCTACCTCCCATAGGGTAGAGTCTGTTTCCCAAGGCCCTCAGAGATAGTAATGTGCATTTTCCCTTGTTACCACAACAAACTACACCACACTGAGAATGTTAGACAACGCAGACTTATTCCCTGACACTCTGGAGGCACAGAATTGAGACTCGGGTTGTGCCTCCCTTTTGGGGATTTTAGGAGAGGATTTTCCTCACCTTTCCCAATTTCTAGATGCTTGGTTCCTGACCCTCTAGTTCCATCTTCAAAGTCAGCCATGCCTGCCCAGGTTCCTCTCAGGATCCACCTCGGTGGTCCTCTACAGGTTTGAACAGGTGGCCCGTGCTGACATTAGGTCCGCCAGGGTGTCTCTCCACCCTCAAGGTCCCTAGGTTTCCTTATAGAGTCAGGCAAGTGCTCTCCTGCTATACCCCACCCTTAACTGTCTCAGAGCCCTTACTGCAGCCACAGCTACAGGGCCCCCCTACAGTTTGGGTATGAAGTGTCCCCCAAAGGCTCGTTACGGAAGGCTTGGCTCTAAAGTGGTGGAGTCAGCCACTGAGAGGCATTTGGGAGCTCTGTACCCTCAAGGCTATGCCTTTGTGGCATCAGAGCAGCCGTGACCAAGTGTAGATGCCTCTCCCAAGACTGATTCTGCTAGCATCCTCACATGGGAAGTGAGGCTCCAAGTCCTCCCCCAAAGACAGGCAAGTTACTAACAATTCTTCAGTGGTGTAGCTGCCCATAACTTGTCTGTAATCCACTAAGTAGACCAAATTAAACTCATTGCTTCATCAAGCTACACTTGGGCAAACCATTTCTTCGGTCTGTTGCCCTCTGGGATAAATATAAATAGACTCCCCAAGAAAAGCCGCACAACACTTGGCACCCAATGGGGATTGACAGAACCAAATACGAGTTTGGAAGGAGCCGTCTCACTGACCCTGCTGTGAGTGGTAAGACCTGTAACTAAAGCTAAACTGTCAAGGGCTAATCACTCAGGGGAAGGGGCGTGGTCATCCTTCCCTCTGTGACGTGGAATGACATGCTTTCTTGCTGTCATGGCAGTAGCACTGTCCTTGCTGTGGGTGATGGGACGTGATATTGTACCTCCATCTGCAGGAACAATATCCAGGACGAGGAACTCTGGGGCGGTCATCTTCCGTGTGTCATGGAGTGGCATGTTAGTGTGGGGCATTCCCTAAACGCCTAACTGGTATAGGACAGGACAGTACGTAAGCAGGCTGTGATGGCAGCTATGTGGTCCTGATGGACAGGAAGACATGGGACCGAGGCTTAGACACCTGCCCGGAAGGAGCTCACCTACACAGGGGAGGAGGGCGTGTGGACGGGCGGCATCCTCCACCTTCACCTCTGACTCGGCAGGAAAAGTGGGAAAGGAGCCAGGAGAGGGCAAGGGGAAGCATGAAGGCACCTTCAAGTCTGACCTTTAACGACAAAGAAGAGGAGATCCATGACTGAGCATGCTGTCGGGGGCCTTAATAATGCCCCGTGCAGGGAACGTCATAATCAGGGGATACTTGCCTGTGAACCTCATGCACCAGGAAAGACTTTTAAATGAAAAACGAAAGAACATGTGAAAATCTGCAGAACATGTGGGTGGACTGGAGAGAGACGCTGGCTGCCTGACCCACAGCAATACAAAGAAATAAGTCTCTGGCGAATTAGTCCATACCAGCCACCAGGCGCATTTGACCACCACCAGCTAAAGTCCCTATCAATGTCAGGAACTGGACTATCAAACATTAAAATGGCAACTGTCTTTTATCCCTGATGTAGTAACGGCTGTGTCTCATCCCATTTGAGAGTGTCACTCTGCCACCAGTGAGTTGACCACCAGCATGATCCAATTCCACAAACATTAGTCAAGTGTTTCCCTACGAACCCAATTTGGGATGCTGCCATAAAGCAGACTGTATCATGGGGGCACTGGGGGGAGCGACAGTCACCAGAAACATTGGGATGGGCTGAGGGAGACATACTACACAGACACGGGCGACTGAGACCAGCCAATGTCACGGGAACAAGGCAAGGGGGTAGATTTCTGCACCCTGCATTAATCAGGGGTTAAATGCGGCTTCATCCAATGCTCTCCTCATGAGGAGCAGCCGTGGACTTGACTGGAATCGTGTTAACCAAACGTCAGGCAACTGCAGCCCAGTCAGACAGTCACTTCACTGTGACTCCCACACTCAGACTCACAAGCATGAACTTTGTATGTTCCAGTGTCTGGTGTGCCCAGCGAAATCCGTGAAGGAAGACAAGTCACAGGACCACTCTGCAAAGTCACATGAGGGTGACCCTGCCACACAAGACACAGAACCAAGAGCCGTGAAGTAAGGGACAAAGAGAAGAGGCTGCACGAACTTCTGAGCCCTCTGTGGGAGAATGGAAAGAGAATGATTAGAAGGGAAGGACGAACAATAGGCAGAGAGAAAACACTTGCGCTTGTCTGAGCAGGCGGCTCCATCACTGGAGTGTGCAGTGTGTTCTGCAAGCTGATAAGGCAGAGGAACAAGTGTGCTTCCTGGAATACAAAAGGCATCTGTTCCTGTTCAAATCGAGATGCGCGCACAAAAGCCACTATCCCGTCCGCCCCCAGCCTGAGGAAGCTGGGGTTCTTAGGCATGGCCAGGAAGATGGTCTAGAGATGAAATGACAGTCTGGGTGAAACGCCATTCCTTGACCTGGCTGAGCCTCTCCCAGGGGCCATCATGCCAGTGCGAGCTCCACTGTAGAAACATATGAGTACTGACATCTATTCCATTTGTTGTAAACGGTAACAGAAACTGCTGTCCTGTTCCAGAACCAGGAGGCTGGAGAGGTCCTGGCCATCTTTAGGATGGGAAAGCATGCAGTCAGACCTCTGGGAGTCAGCACGGAGGACCATCTGTCACAAAGCTAAATATAAAGTGCCAAGGTGATGGGTACAGGCATCACCTTGTAGAGTGACATCACAAAGGTTGTATATTAACGTCCTCTGTAGTGAATGCCTGTCCAGCAGTGCATGGACGGACAGACGGACGCTGCTCTGCTGGTTCCTCGACTCGGGACTTGAGGAGCACCTGGCTGGAGAGGGCTCTGCTGCTACAACAGGAGACATGGGCGGGGAATCTAAACAACAGAAACTTGGTTTTCACAGTTCTCGATGCTATGAAGTCCAGTGCTGAACAGCCACCTCTGGTGCAAGCCTCCTGGCACACGACACTATGGAAAGGTATCCACATGCCAAGAGAGACAAAATAAACACATAGGGACGCAAGAATTAGAGACAGAGAGATGTTTTTGCTGGAAAAATCTGTAAAAACTTACTTATACCATTTGCCCTTGTCTCGTGGAACTGGGTGTAGGGAAAAGGGACCAGCCAAAGAAGCACACTTTGGCCTTGCAACCAGAACCAAAGAAATGTATCCTGATCCTGAAACCAATGCCAAAGAAACACACTTTGTCCCTGGAATTAAAGTCAGTGAAAGAAATACACCCTGGCCCTAAAACTAGAGCCAAAAGACTAAAAAGGACCAGAGAAAGAAACACACTTTGGCCCTGAAACCAGAGCCAAATCTGACCCTAACCCTGTGCAGAAAACTAACCAATCCCTGAGCAGAGCTCTAGCCAATCTGAGCTCAGCATTAAAATCTGACCAATCCCCACCCTGGAAGCCCTATATAAACCCTGTGTTTGTTCAGCTTGTGGCTGTTCATGCTACCAGGCTGTCCTCTGCCACTCTGGCAGAGGGCAGCCACTCTCCTGGATTCTTCCCTCCCAATAAATTCTGTCAGTGAGCTTCGGGTGAAGACCTTCTTTTAGGAGGTGACCCTGGGCAGAGCAGAGAAAGCAGGGCTGTAACACTTCTGCCGGGGAAACCTTCCCCTGACAGAGCAGATTGCTGCACTCAGCTCAACACTGTCCCGGGAACAGAGCTGAACTGTAGCAACTTCGCCCAGGAAACCTTCTCCTGCAGAACAAAACTGCTACACTGGGCAAACATCCCCAGCTGGAAGGCCCTCTCCTGCTGGAGCAGAGCCTATACACTGGGGAAGCCTTTCCCTGAGGCAGGCCTGTGGTGGTCCTTGACTCCCAAGCTCCAGGATACCTTTCCATCTGAGCTGTGTAACATTCAGTATTTTGTGACTCCTGAATGCCAGGATACCTTTCCATCCAAGCTATAACACTCAATATTTGTGACTCCCGAGTGCCAGGATACCTGTCCCATCCGATCCGTCCAAAATGCTTACACTGGGTATCCCTCAATTCACCCTCTGCATTTCAGCCGGCCTGTGGCATTCCCAAACCCTTTGTTATCTGGACCACATTCTTCCTGGGAGGCTGGCGCCATCTCCAGCCTGACTCTCCATGTGTCTGTCACTCTGCCACCAGCCCACCTGTGGCGGGCTTTATGCTCTGTTCTTTTAGGCTGCTTCGTTTTGATATTCTGTTTTTATTTATGTATAGCGTAAGATGAGTGTGTTCTGCACACATGCAGGTGCCCACAGAGGCCTGGTAGAGGCGCCAGGTCTAGAGCTGGAGTTACAGGCAGTTGTGAGCTACAAGACACAGGCTCTGCAAACCACAGAGTCCTCTGGAGCAGGAGGTACTATCTGCAGCCCAGCCGTCTCTCCAGCCCCCTCTCGGCTTTTATACCCCAAGCCCTCTCCCTGGCAGAGGCACCAGCAGCCTCACTTCACTCTGGGGACTGAGTCACACCGGCTTTGCTTTCAGTGCCCCTAGGAGTCTCCTGTCTCTCCGGCTGGGATCTCCACCTTGCCTCTTCTTTGTGGACTGTGCTCGGTAGCTGAGCACCGCTCAGCTGGAAGTACCCTCTCAGGGGCATCTGTCACTGGTAAACTCAGAAGATATTTGAACTCTCTGAGAATCTGTGATAGCAAGGTTGTCCCACACACACTTCAAATCCAAGCATTGTTTATGTCAAGTGTCCTCCAAGGCTCTTCGCTGGGGATGGCTGCCCCCTCACTCTGTAACAAGTAGTAGAGAACAACAAAGCTGCCCAGGAGTCGAAACAATGTGTCCCCGAGAACAGTTAGAAGGTGAAACATCTCCGAAAACAGTTGCTACTGCTTGTCTGACTATATAAAATCCCCACAGGAAGAGAGAGGTCAGAGGGTCGGCTGTGAAAACGTATCCATGGAGAGAAAACTCAACCAAAAACGCCTGCTGGCTACCTCAGCGTCCCGTTTGCTTTCCGCTGGGTAGCTGGGTATCATGAGCATCCAATCTGATGACGTCAGCTCTATTTGTTGCTATTTGTCCTTTCACCTGGAAGCCTGACCTGAGGGGACATGACTCTGCCTGGAACACTCTGTCTGAGTGTTTTGGCTGCGTGGTTTACTGTTTTTCTATCTATCATTTGGTATTTGTCCTTTTACTTGCTATATACTTAATAAACTCACTCACCCAAAACCAAAGGCTATTGTAGATCATTCTCTGGACCGCAAAGAACACCCCTAAGCAGATCCTGTTCCCCTGACCCAAGTGGGGAGGAGGGCAGTGTGCACAGGCATGACCCACCACCTCCCCCGAGAGAAGTGTCCCATAAATAATTCAGGTGACAGGTTATGACCGCAGTGGCCCTGAACAGAAAGGCCCTTTTAGGAGGTGTAGGACTTATACATGGCCAGCGAGGAAAGGTGGAACAGGGATTACAGAGCTGAGGGGTGTGAAAATTGGCTGAATCACCCCCACTGGAAGAAGCAGCTCAACTTGGCTTAATCTCCTGAGCATGCTACCTGAGCCAGGGATGCCCCATACCAAGTGTGACTCTCTCCCACTCAGGGGCCAGCCAGGTGGCCCCTGCCAGGATTGTCAGAACTCTTGAGTCAACAGATAGGGCAAGCAACTGCCCCTAGGTGAGGAACTCCTGTTACTTAGAGTGTTCCGGAAAAGGAACCTGGACCAGCGCTGCCACTTCCCTTGCACTCGGCCGACTTGCAGACGGTACAACTACACCACCTGCACGGGAACACATCTGACCGTGGCTGTGGTACGTTGCCCAGGTTATTCTGCAGGGACGTGAAGGACCTCCATCCTCGCTAAGGTTTCTATTGCTGGGAAGAGACGCCATGACCACGGCAACTCTTATAAAGGAAAACATTTAACTGAGGGCTAGCTTACAGTTCAGAAGTTCAGTCCATTATCATCATGGCGGGAAGCCTGGCAGCGTTCAGGCAGGGGTGGCGCTGGAGGAGGGGCTGAGGGTTCTACATCCTGCAGGCAACAGGAAGTTGACTAAGACACTGGGTGGCAACCTGAGCATAGGAAACCTCAAAGCCTGTCCCTGCAGTGACGCACTTCCTCCAATAAGGCCACACCCACTCCAACAAAGTCACACCTCCTAACAGCGCTGCTCCCTATGACATTATGGGGGACAGTTACATCCAAACTGCCACAATGTCCAATATCCAGCATGTGTCTGGAATGGGATGAGAAGGGTGGGCATCTCTGTCTTCATGTCCTGCCTGACCCTTTGCTGCCCTCCTCCTCCCTCCTCCTCTCCCTCCTCCTCTCCCTCCTCCTCCCTCCTCCTCTCCCTCCTCCTCCTCCCTCCTCCTCTCCCTCCTCCTCCTCCTCCCTCCTCCTCTCCCTCCTCCTCCACTCCCTCCTCTCCTCTATCCCCTCCTTTCTTCTCTCTCTACCCCTCCTCTCCTTCTCCTCCTTCTTTCCCTCCTCTTTTTTCCTCCTCTTCCTCCCCTTCCCTCCTCTCCTTCCTCCTCTTTTTCTCATTCCTTTTTCTTTCTTTGGAGAGGTCTCCATGTATACCAAGATGACCTCTAACTCACAATTCTCCTACCATGATCTCCAGAGTTTGGGGGTCACAAGCCTGCACCCCACACGCATCCTACTATACTATTATTGTTGTTGCTGTTGTTTAAATGCATACAAGTATATCATGAATTTTGGTTACTTTTGTTCCTTTTTTAAAAGAAAATTTGTGAGTTCAAGAAAACAAAAATATTTTAAATAATAAACTAAAATGCTTTTCTCTCAGACAGTCAATCATAAGACTTTGGATCTGTGCACCTGGGCAAAGAAATTGTCCCTGAAAAGTGAAAATGAGAACCTCCCTGCATGTAACTGAACTGTTAATTGCTTTTTGCAAGCAATATTTATGCAGATGGCCCCATGCTCTGTCATACCATGTGAACTACACACACTCATGACATTAGTCACAAGTCCTCCTTTAATCTGGACCTTGGAGCTGTGAGTGCAGCACCTGCGGAGTCCACCATGGGCTCTCCTCTCTGGACACCTGGGGGCTCTCAGTCCTCCCTCCTCTACCCCTCTCCCCACTCCCCCTGGCCTCTGTCCCAGCATCGCACATAGGGAGCTACATGTCCCTACCCTGTCTCCTGTGTGAAAGTCTCAACCCCAATTCCCCGAGTTCCCAGCAGATGCCAGGGCCAAACCACCCATCTGCGGTGCTACTCACGGCATTCGGGCCAAGCAAGGCCCACAGGCAATGCAGGTTTTGGGGCAAACAATCCTGAGATGAGCTAACCTCACGCACAAAAGGATCTGAAGCCAAACCATCGCATG